CTACTTTGTAAGAACGTATCTAATCTTCTAAAAAAATGAAAACAAAGGAACAGAATCTGATTTCATTCCTATAAAAATACAGATTAAAGTAAGAACTGTGTCTCCCTAGAAGTACACCAAAAAGGAATATTTCCAGACAATCCAGTCATGAATTTTAACCAGTTTAGTAGTGCTGTGAAAGTTAATACCCACAAATTTACACCCACGTTCAAAACAACAAACAGTCCTAATATAAAGCATGTAACCAAGATGATTTACAGAAGTCTTCAGTCTGAAAAAATAAGTTCATCTTGGAACATCTTTAATTTGCATAAGCTGATATTCTAATGCATACCTACTTCTTTCAAGGAAAAATGGTGAGTTGATGTATATCTGTTCACGAGATGATAATTCAATATAAGCACCTGATCACATTCTTGATTTCCTTTGCAATTTATTAAAAAAAAAAACCATGCAGATCCCTGAATTACAGACCTAAACGTTTGAGATCTCTTTGCATCATGTTATTCCTAATGTGTTAGGGAAGACAAATAAACTGCACCTCTTAAATGTAGGATCATACAGCAAACAGCACGAAAGCATTCTGCGTCTGGTCAGCTCTGGGATATCACAGCTTTCCCAAAATAAGCTCAAGATTACTGAATTTACAGCATGTTGTTGATTTAGGCAGATTGCAGCAACATTAGCCCTTACAAACATCCATTAGATGAGAGCATTATCTCTCATGATCTAACTTCATTTTTGCAATATTTAATCATTTTCTGTAATGCAGAGCTGAAAACTACTAAAAAATAAACAACAACACTGTCCAGGGTCACAAGATCTACAGTTAAGACCGATTTTACTTCTGCAGGAGTTGGGATGCAGCTTAGTTCCACTAACTTTTCTCATTAGTGCTGTAATAAGACATGCCTATTTGTGAATCTGTAACAGTCTCTAGAAGGGAGTTGTACAAACTCTGAGTAGCAGCACAGGAAAAAACAGCTTGCCTACACTAAATAAAAAAAAAATAATAATGCACAGCAACATGGGGCTCTTCAAACTCAGTGCAGCTAGTCACTGCAGGCCGGCTATCAGCCTTTGAAGTTTCACATGGCACCAACCAAGTTTTATTCACTCTGTCCTGCAGGACGCTACTTACCTTGTTATCTGTCTATACAGACATAAAGCTTTGTAGAGGCAGGATTAAAATACAAATAACCTGATTTGTGTGCGTTAAGAAGGCAGAAGAGCAGTAACATTTAGTACTAATACCATCTACCTTGGAATCACAACATTCCAGTATGAATGTGAAGAAAAATATTGTGGTTCTGTATAATACTAACGGTTACTTAAGCTTCCCTTCAAGTCCAACAAAAGTGAAGTATATAACCTCAGTCTCACCTAGCCCTCCAGGACCAGCCAACAGAAACTCTTGCCTGCCAATCCTCTTCACAATTGGCCGTTTCTCATCGCTGCAGTAAGGAAACAGATCCTGGGAGACGCCAGTATTATAATTCAAAATGATGTACTGTGTAGTAAGCGCAAGACACAAGTAATAGCCATCTACAGCCACGGCACAGGGTTGCTCTGGGGTAAACACTTCCTTCACGATCTGGACTCTGTCTTCAAACACCATGAACATCTGAATGGTCCGTCGCTTGACCGAGATAATGCAGACTTCAACACAGAAAGGGTCCCCACTCACAGGGTTTTCATTTAAGGTGAACGTCACAGCTCCTTTGATTCTAGCACCAGTGGGGACAGGTTCCAAGTTCATCATGTTGACTAGTGTTATCGTGTTGTCACACAGCACAAGCAGCCTGGTGAGTGCAGATGCTGCTTTCAACTCATTCACTGGCTTCTTGAAGCCCAGGTATTTATGCAGTTGCTTGGTGGCAGCAAAAGTTATTTTTCCAGCTGTCGATAGCTTTTCATCCAGCAGGAAGTGATAGATAAAGCAGTCGTTGGTTCCAATGTAGAGGTTCTTTCCACAACACTCGATGCATTCGATGTTGATGTGATTTTTGTCTCCCATTAACACCTCCCGCTCCACAGCAGAAACGAGCTTGAAAGCTTTCACACTCATTGTGTCTTCCGGGTGATCTGAGTAAGGAAGAAAAGAGTTACCAAACCACCACCGTCAAATATTAGAGGCAGCCATTTAACATTTACCAGCACAAAAAAAGTTGCTTTTTCTTTTTATGGGCTACATTCTTGTTTCCAACCAGATTACACAAACCAGAACGAGCATGTTAATAACCACAAAACTGACTCAAACTGACTTTTCACTTCAAGTCTGTTCTGAAGTAGATTCACAGTAGCACCTAGATAATTTGAAAGCAATGCTTCTTCCACAAGGAACAAGCCCACTGTTGGCTCTCTGATACTTTGGCACTGCATGCAGTTCTTCCTAGTACTACTTTGTGGCTTTCAAACAACTTCTCTACATGAAAAAAAAAAAAACAACAAACTTTGGCTCTTAGGCTTCTAGAGTAGCTACAAGATTGAGTGCTACATGCTAATGTCTCATGTGGCTTTACATTTTATTTGACAAAATTTAGTCCTATTAGTAACTCTTCTAGTGAGGTACCACAGGCATAACACATCTAACACATTTCCATTCCTGACTTTCCAACAATAAGAAGTGAAATTAACTTTCAAGCCCCTGAAAAATAATTCATGAAAATCACTGTGATTTTTTTTTGGTAATACCATCAAGCATTCGTTTTAGAGATGCGTGAGTAGCACTGAATACCAGACTATGGACTTAGCAAGTATTAGGCATGGTCACACATGTGGTTTGGAAGTATGACCCATACAGTGCTTATTAAGCTCAAGAAGCACTGAACTTAGAGGAGTTTTTGTTCACTACTATCACAACCATTGCCAAAGATTGTTTTTAAGTGCTAAGCAGCACTTACAATATTCACATTCTGCAAACTAGACCTTCCCTTTTACAACCAAGCACTGCCAAGGGGCAGATCCAATTCATGAAGCAATTATCAGTGTTTTGAAACCAGTCGATGTAATTTTGCTGTGCTGCAGACTAGTCTTGCTGTTACATGGAACCAGCAGACACCTGTGCTGAGCCCTCGGAAGAACAGATGAAGAACTGCTGACCTAAATTAGTCACCCTTCACTATGCCAGGACTGCTCTGTAACAACCACTTCTCCATTCAAGACACTCGGTGTTGGCTTTGAGAAACAACCCGCACAATTATTCCTACTCCACGCATACTGTGGATACAAAACGTCAAATCACAGACTCACAGAATTGTTTAGGTTGGAAGAGACCTCCGAGATCCCAGAGTCCAACCTCTGACCTAACGCTAACAGTCCCCACTAAACCATATCCCTAAGCTCTACATCTAAATGTCTTTTAAAGACCTCCAGGGATGGTGACTCCACCACTTCCCTGGGCAGCCTAGTGAAACTTTGGTGCACTGAAGCGTGACTTTAATCATCCTGAAATTAAATACAAGTAGTAAAGATGAATTCTGTTTCAAATTGCTATATGTAAAAATGAAGAGTTGCTTTTACAAGGCAACATTGAAAACCATAATAAATAACATTTCCAAAGATTAATAAGGTAAACGACAACTCATGAGTTACCAGTAACTGAAATTAGCCCAAAGCAAGAACATATCCAGAAATAAATCACGGTATGATGTGGTCTTTCAAGCCAAGCATTTCCTGTATTTCCCCAGCAGTTAACAGGTTTAGGATGTGCCTCCCCTGCCCGTTTCAAGCCTCAGCCTCACCCGGGCTTTAAATTCCTCTGCCGCCCGGCACCCAGCAACCCCCCCCGGCCACCACCCGGCGAGAGAAACCCCTCCAGGCCCCGCGGGGCCTTATCCCCCCCCTTCGCCCCTCACCCACCTGCGAGCGCCGAGCGGCGCCGCTCCGGGATCCGCGGCCGGGCCGGGCCGGGCCTCGCTGGGGCTCCGCCGGCCGCGGGGAGGGGAGGGGCGGGCGCCGGGCTTCCGGTACCGCGCCCCGCCCCGCCCGCTGCCTTCCCGTCACGTGACGGGGCGGGCAGGCGGCCGTTGGAGCCGTTGGAGCCGTTGGGGTGGGCGTGGGGGTCCCAGCCCTGAGGTGCCCGAGGCCAGGCTGGGGGAGGTGTCCCTGCACATGGCGGGGGGAGCTGGGTGGGCTTTGAGGTCCCTTCCAACCCAAATCACTGTGACTCTGTGGATGTAAATAAACGTTACGTTGCTTGTACAATTAAGTTATTGTTAATATTCCAAAATTGAATTCATAAGTAATACAACTATCTTAAGAGCTGGATGTATTCGGTTGAATATGAGCCAGCAGAGTGCTCAGGTGGCCAAGAAGGCCAACGGCATCCTGGCTTGTATCAGAAACAGCGTGACCAGCAGGGCTAGGGAGGTGATCGTCCCCCTGTACTCGGCTCTGGTGAGGCCGCACCTCGAGTACTGTGTTCAGTTTTGGGCCCCTCGCTACAAGAAGGACATGGAGGTGCTTGAGCGGGTCCAGAGAAGGGCGACGAAGCTGGTGAGGGGCCTGGAGAGCAAGTCCTACGAGGAGCGGCTGAGGGAGCTGGGCTTGTTCAGCCTGGAGAAAAGGAGGCTCAGGGTTGACCTTACTGCTCTGTATAAGTACATTAAAGGAGGCTGTAGTGAGGTGGGGGTTGGCCTGTTCTCCCATGTGCCTGGTGACAGGACGAGGGGGAATGGGCTTAAGTTGTGCCAGGGGTGTTTTAGGCTGGATATTAGGAAGAACTTCTTTACTGAGAGGGTTGTGAGGCATTGGGATGGGCTGCCCAGGGAAGTGGTGGAGTCACCATCCCTGGAGGTCTTTAAAAGCCGTTTAGATGTAGAGCTTAGGGATATGGTTTAGTGGGGACTGTTAGTGTTAGGTTAGAGGTTGGACTCGATGATCTTGAGGTCCCTTCCCTTCCCTTCCCTTCCCTTCCCTTCCCTTCCCTTCCCTTCCCTTCCCTTCCCTTCCCTTCCCTTCCGCCCTTCTCTGACGCCACTTCCGCCCTCAGCCCCGCCCGGCGGCCCCTCAGCGGCCGGAAGCGGTGCCGGCGGCACAAGATGGCGGCGCAGCGGCGGGGCTGGGCGGGCGCTGTGGCGGCGGAGCGGCCGCTGGGGCGCTCGGCCTCGGAGCTGCTGCTGCACCCGGAGCTGCTCTCGGAGGAGTTCCTGCTGCTCACCCTCGAGCAGGTGGGGCGGCCCCGCAGGGGGGCGCGGCCCTGCCCGGGGCCGGGGGGGGGAGGTCGGCCTCGGGCCCCAGTGGTTGCCATGTGGGAGGTTTTGCCCCAGCCCCTCTCTGGGCTCGCCGGTCGGGCGCACCAGAAGCACTCAGGGAAGAAATAATTAAAAAATAATGTAAAAAAAAAGGAATGTTGTGCTCTGTAGGTTGGATACTTGCTTAAAAGAGGTGTGCAGCCTGAGAGTTGCCCCCCTTGTTCTCATAGGGGCTGCGTCTGAGCCCTGCTCCTGTGGTTGCTAAAGAATAATTTATCAAACTGTGTGTGTGTCTGTGAGGCAGCATTTACGTACAACAGTAGTTACCTGTGGACAGTCGATCTCCTCTGTTAAGGCTGGTGCATGCATACTCAGTGAGCTAAAGGGAACACGTCCTTCACGGTCAGCAGAGATAATGTTTAACTGCATGCTATTGAAAAATCTGAGTTTGAAAGTGACTTATAGCCCACTTTGTAGCTTCAGTTGATGTACTGAAGTACTGATGTACTTGCTACTGCCTTATCTGCAACATTAGGGGAATGAAACAATCTTCTAAGGCTTTTACGTGAGATTGCTCAACTTTGTATGCTCTTGTTCACATAGTTTATGTGCACAACAGTACAAATTTTGAGCCCCTATCAGAAGTTATAAAGCATTTCTGCTGCTCATTGGAGCAGCAGAAACTTGCCCTGTTTTCAGTGGCTTGTGTTTGCGTGACATTACTGTTTCTTTCTCTTAATAAATTTGGTAGAAGGTAGCAAAATTTGTTTTCACATCCTTGTGTATGTTCAGAAAGAAAATCTGTGTGCTTTTATAACTGACAGTGACAAGAAGTCTCTCTGAGCAACTCACATGTTGGGAACTGGTGCAGAAGCAGAGTTCCGCATCTGGGAATTTGAACTGCTTTATGTTCTAGTTGCCTGTTTTTTGGAGGTACAAAAGAGAGCTCTGGCTTTGTAGTTGGATTTAGGGAACATGTTTAAGAGTGCATGAAAACCTTGGTTAACCACAATGGTTCTATCAGAACTTAATTTTCTTGTGTAACTATTTTTATTGGGAAGATTTGCAGGGCTTGCATAGCAGTGGACTGTGGAGGTTATCTGTGCAAGCAAAGGTGCCGGTCACAGCTAGGTTCAGCTGTCTGACAGTGATGAAAACAGCCCATTGCACACCAAAACTTCAACCAGTGGTACTTCCACAAGTGGTACTGCTCAAATCTGCTTTACAAAGAGTGGCAGCGGCAGGAAGCAAAGAGAGGCCGTGCAGGAGTAGCCAGATGAGGAGATGTGAGGAGAATGGGGAAACAGGACTCATGAAAAATTAGATTTTGGGGACGTGGCTGGTGATGGGCTCTGGAAAGCAGATGTGCCTCTGAGTGGGCTCCAGCCTGTGGAGGGCTCTTGCTGGAGCAGGAAAAAACCTCATGGAGACTGGTCTGTGGAGAAACCCATTCTGGAGCAGAAGAAAATGAATTAGAATCAAGGAACAGAGGAAGAAAATGCATACGAAGTAAGAAACGGCAGAAAGAAACCATTAAACAAACACACAGGGAAACACCTCTCCTCCCTTCCTGGTCTCAACTTCTCTTCTTTCTGATGTGGATTGCTGTCAGTCCTTCTCAGTTCCTTGCCTGAGGAGGGAGAGGATCTCTTCACAAAGCTCCTCATGTGCTTTCTCCTCTGCGTCCTTTTTTGTGTCTCCTGTCCCTAGTGGCTGCTGCCCTTCATTAAAGGTCTATTTGAGCAGAAGCACCGTGTCCTTCTCTGCTTGGTTGAAGCTTTGGTGTGCAGTGGGTTGTTTTCAGAGTTGTTTTCAGAGTTATCAGCTGTCACTGGCACAGGGCATTTCCTTGCCTCCCATGGAGGTCACCCCTACAGCCAGCCCCCTCAGCACTGACACCCTGGCATTTATGCCAAATTCACTACTTCAGAATGGCTTTTGAAAATGAAATTTGGCCACTGTTTTTGCTCTGAATTTGTCACAATAATCACTTTTTTTTTTTGTTCTGTTCCCCACAGAAGAACATTCTCGTCAAAAATGATGTGAAGATGGACAAAGATGGCCTCACTGATCTCTACATTCAACATGCTATTCCGTTGCCTCAGCGTGACCTACCCAAAAGTCGATGGGGGAAAATGATGGAAAAGAAAAGACAGCAAAATGAACTGAAAAGTGAAAATAAGAGGTAACTTGGCTTTCAATGGGATAGATCTGGAGAACTTAGGAAAATGCAGTTAGTTTGGTCTTCATCTGGCTGACATCTAAAACTTGTACAAGTTTTGAACATTGTTACAGTTTAGCAGGAATGCTGTCACAGCCTGTGTCAGAAGTGTTGGATCCTCCTACGCCAATAATAGGGAAAAAGGGTTATCTTTTTTGTCATCTAAATGTTATTAATAGCATCTAGCTTATAGTACTTGCTTTTTATTGCTATGTTTCAAAATAGTATATCAAGAAAAAAATCATGATTGTTTTCACCTTATAATTGTTAAATAATAATAATCGTGTTTACAGTGTTAAGACAAATACCAGCAGCATATTTAACTGTGATTGCTCACTGAACGGGGTTGGTCTGCTGAGTCAGGAATGTGTGCTGCAGCAGTTTTGTGTGTCCAGTTAAAAACTAACGCCTCCTTTCTGAAAGTGTTCTGCCTTGTGTTCAAAACCTTTATGTTTGGATTTGATCAGAAAGCAAAATCTTCCTAAGAAGTTTATTAACAGAATGTTTTCTTCCCCAAACCTTCTCCCTGCCCAAGACTTTAACTTTGACGTGCATGGGTGGCAAGTCTGATTTAGCTCCATCAGTAAACGCTAAAGGAAAGGTGGACAGAAATTCTCATTGTGCTTTTTGCACTATTACAACTTGTTTCATATTTTCATAATTTCGTAAGTCTTACAGAGGTTTCTAACAAGGAAGAACTAAACAAATTCTGGCATGTGATTTTTTTTTTAAAGCAGTGTCTAGGGTACTGATTTGTCTTATTATGTCTTTTTTTCCCCACGTGCTTAAAAGGCCTGTTTGTAGAGTGGTCCGTTTGTGACTTGAAGATAAAAGCATGAGGTTAGTGTTCAAATAATAAGACACTGTTAGTGTGCTGAAATAGGTGCAAAAGAATTTTTTATCAGAGAACTAAAGATAGCGGGGAGGATGTTTTTGAGAGAAGGCAGCTGTGTTAATTTTTAGATGGGAGAATGGCTTCATCCTTATGTCATACGTAGAGTAAGTTTAGGAGCTGTTAATTTGATGCAATAAAACTCAGTAAGGGTCAAACCTATTTTTACTAGGGAAATGGTCAGTAAAAGTAGATATTTTTAATCCACCAGTCTGCTTTTCTTTTCCACTTGCCGCTCCCAGAGAACCAGGAGCAGGTAATCAAATTTCAGCATGTTCAGTAAGTAAAAGTTGCACAGAGAAAACTTCAGTTACAGTATGGTCATGGGAAGAATCGTGGAAGTTTGGTGATCTTTGTGGATGTTAAAACAGTATGGTTTTCCTCGTAGCTGTGTTTGTCAGCTTAAGGAGAATTGGTGTCATGCCATTGTGAAGACACGGAAGTAGACCTTGGCATTTGTGTTTTTCAAAACAAGAAAATCCGAGGCCATTATGGGGCTGTAAGTTATGTGCAAGTCAGAGATAAACTGAACTAAAAGTACAATTACTTACTCAAAGTCAGATAAGCTGATTCATCATTTGAATAACAGGAGCTGTCTGCTGCATTCCACCGTGGGAAGGCTCTGCTTTCCAGAGCATGCTCGGGTTACTGCAGGGCTTGGAGACGCTCAGCAGAGCTCGGTGTGTAGTTGCATACCTCTAATAGCTGCAGATAGGAGGTAAAAACACATTAATAACTTCAATTGAAATTTAAAACTCAGTGTTGAGGACTGTGTTCAGTTTTACTGCTGGTGATTGCTGGCATGTCCTAAAAGACTTGCTGAGTTGCAGTATCATGTTATACCTCAATAATATAATGTAATATCTGAGGTGAGTGTTGAAACATCTTATTTCTGAATTTTGAGTGTGCAGGCAATCACTCTGAATAAGAACAAATGCACTGTATCCAACCTCAAACGTTTCAGAAAGTATTTGTGTTTAGGGACAGCTATTTTGCAGAAACATCTGTAAGAGCATCTTGACTGCTGGAAGGAGGAGGACTGTTTGCATCTCAAAATGTATGTGTAATTTCTGAAGTGCTATGGAGTCTGAAGAATCTCAGCCACAAACTCATTCTCTGGGAGCTCTGTGGCTGTGCATGCTCTGGGCTGTGGCCTTGGTAGAGCTGATAATTTTTTCATTGTCACTTGACAGGCCACTTCAGCATCCTCTGAGGACTGCCAATGCACTGAAAATACTGAGTTCAGCATATAGTGTGGCACTCGTGACCAGTTTCTAAAACATTAGCAGACAAGATGATCACCTGCCTGTTTTTTTTTTTTTTAGCAGAGTGGATACTTAGAGTAATCAGGAGCCAGGACCTAAAACCTACACTTCTTGCTGGTTTTAGGGTGTTACATTAAGTACCAGGCTGGGCTAGACAAGGAAAATTTTTTGTTCAATTGTCCTCATGGTCAGGAGCTGTTCCAGAGCTGACTGCATGAGTGATCTGAATAATCATTTGAAAAAGCAGAAACCCTGCTTGCTTGTGTAGAGAAGTTCTTGCTTCCTCTAGCAAATCTTGAGTTCTTTACCATGCACTACACAATAAACATCAGGATTAGAGCATGCCCATCATTCAGCTTGGCTTATAGTGTGGTTTGAGCACTTCCCCAGAATTTAGGAGATGTGCATTAAAATTTAGGTTTCACGGAGTGTCTTGTGGAAAGGAACACCATCTCAAACTGTTTATTTTCAGCTGTTATGGCTTCAGTATCCTCCCTAGGAAGAGTGCTGGTTAACGTAAGTCCTACTCTGAAGCTTTTAAGCATTCTCTACTTAATGTAAATAAAACGAATGTCACACCTCAGGTTCTGTGTTTGTCTGCGAGCCACCTATCTAAAAATTAGATGTGACAATGCTTGATGGTACAGGTGTCCAGTTTTCTTTTGGAACTTGCCCAAAGTGCTTCTCTGGGAGTGTTATCTCTATTGTAGCATGTGGTCACCTGTACAAGTGCTACAACTCTAAAATTCAGTAGCATAGATAACAATCCAGGTAGAATCATAGTTCTTGAATTACTAGTCTTAAAGCTTAACTTAAAAAAAGAAAAAATCTCCTGAGGGGGAAAAATATACTTTAAATTAAGGAAGGTGACTGAAAAAAGGTATAAAATCCCCTCTTTCACATAGTTTATAAACTAGTTTTCCAAAAAGGCTGCTGGGGAATGTTTTTTTTTGTTGTTGTTGTAGTGTTAAGTCTTAGACAAAGCCAAAGTGAGCAAAGAGTATCATGCTTTATTTTTGAGGCATGTATCAGCTTTTTAGGCTTTTCAAGTGAAGTTGTACTCCTTAATATAACAGATATGTTAAATACTGCTATTGTTTCAGTGAAACCTTATCTACTGTCTGTCTGAACGCTCCTTGGAAGTTAGTCATGTTTTGTAGAAGCTCTTCTATAGACCACAGTTATGTAGATACAACCCAAAGAGCTGTCTGATCCCTTAATTTCATTTGGTACATTTGTTAAGGTCTTTGTGTCTATCAGTTCTGGGAAGCTGATGAATAAAAAAAGAGGAGGCTTGTGTGATGTGTATTGTTGTGAACAGATAGTAAGGTAGAAGCAAATCTGAAGAAAAGCTGAACTTTCTTTTGCTCTGTGAGGCCCCTAAACTGTTACTCCTTTCATTCCAGAAATCTCTGGTCTTGACAGAAATTGTACACGAGATGTATCATTTCTTATTTTAACATGTGAAGTTTTCAGCAGCTACTAATCTAATGTTTCAGATCAAACAACTGAAACCTCTATTTGTGGCTTCTTCTAAAGTCTGTACATATATCTAACATCAATATTGTCAAATTAATGAATGTATTTCTCTGTTGAAAACCCTGTAGTTCAACTTCTATTCCCCTGTTTTATGCAAGATGGCTAAACAGTAAGTGCGTACTGAAAACTGAAGTTTTTAAACAGGAATATTATGACTTAATGGTGAATTGGTTTTTTATTTGTTAAATCTGAATAGTTCATCTTTGCCATTCTTAAGCAACACATTTTAAAACTCTAAATTTATGTAGAGTAAGGTATGATAACTGTTCTATTTTTTTTTTGCCAGTCAGGATGTCTTCTGATACTGGTCTTTTAATAGTAGGTTGATAGTATTCTTTTTTTCATAAATCAGTTGTTACTAAATGGGCCAGTCTCTGACTAGACACGAAGGCACAAACTATTCAAAAGACATTAAATCCGCTTAGGGTTCCTGCTCAACAGGTTATTTCAGAAACAAGTATGCATTCTTTTTTGCTTAACGTTTTCATTCCTCATCTCACAGTTCCTTAGGCTGTTTTAACACTACGATTTTGAATAAGTATTGAATTGAGGAGATTTATAAGCATCAGAATATTAGATCCTGTTCTTGTAAGGTGGTTCACGCTTTCTCAAATACTTTTTAAATACTTAATGACTATTAAAGTCTTTTGCTTTTCAGGAAGAGCTACAGTGGTATAAGTTAAGTGTGAAATCTTAGGATGTACAACTGTGCCTGTCTAGAAGGTTCCTCACTCAACCCTCTTTGTTGATCCCCTGCATGCCCCATACTCTTCCACACACCCCCACGCCCCTTTGTAATTTTGGAATTTTTCCTATTGTTTAAATTTGGGGCAGCTAAGAGTTTAAGGACAGTATTCTGGAATGTATTTTTACCTTACGCAAGATTAAAGTCATTTTTACTGCTTATGTCTTGGATATGCTATTTTTGAGCAATTTGGCTTGTGTTTGTGATCATTTTACAATTTGTATTTTCAGTGTTACAGCGGTGGAAGGATTGAGGAAACGGCCATTAATTGTATTCGATGGTAGTTCAACGAGCACAAGCATAAAAGTGAAGAAGACAGAGAATGGAGCTACCGATCGCCTAAAACCTCCCCCAGCTGGAAGCACCACCAATACCTGTTAGGAGATTATCAGCTTCTTCAAATGCCTCATCATACATTTCAGCCTCCAGTTTACCAGAGGACGCTAAGCTGGAAGTGAGGAATAGTGAGGCTAAGCAGAACAATATTTCAAAGACTAATAGCAGTGTATTGGCTAATCTGAAGGCGTACCCTTTGACTCCAGTAGCAGGAGCTACTGTTGTGAAGTTAAAGAGATCTGTTCCAAAAGAAGACTCTGATTTGCCGGTACGTACGTTCACATACCTTTATTTTTATTGAAAGTTGAAGGAACCAAAGGTAGAACCTGGTAAGAATTCCCAGGATTATTTTATGTTGGAGTAACAGTACAGTATTTAGAAAGGAGTAGCTGGTTTGGGAGAGACCAGCAGGAAAAAAATGAAGTATTTTTTACTTGTTTGTGGGAAGCTTCTGTGTTAGAGGCAGCTCTGCAGAAAACATGCATGTCATTGTAAAATGAGCAAGTAGGTAATATGTAAGGTGGTGCTGGTAGCAGGGTCAACTAAATCAAACAAAAATAACCCTACTTGTAGGTCTGAGAGAGAGGACAGGCTTTAGAGAACAAGAGCAGCCTGGTCTGTTTTGTAGTAGGGAAGAAAAAAGTGGAATGATAACATTTGTAACAATCACACTTGAATGATTAAGACAAGCTTTCATTTGTCAAAGTGAAGGAGGAGATGTTGAAGGAACTGAAGTGAGATGCTGCAAGCTGTAGCATGTGTCCTTAAAGGAAGAAGGCCATCTGTTTGAAATCTCACATAGGAATTGGCAAGCTAGAGGTAGGAATTAGATGAGAAAATCTGGAGAGCTGCCTAGATTGTGGGTCTGAATGAGAGCAACAACAAACCGAGCTAGTTGTAGCGAGAGGACAAAGGTCAAGTGCTCATTTTGAGCCGTGGTGATCTTGCTCAGGTACCTGGGTTTCTATAAGATGATGAGAAGGATGTGCTGAGATCTTGAACAGGAGGGTGCTGTTCTCAAGTAGAAAATTGATTGCTGATTTGTTAATCATAACACTAAATAGTGACCTCTTTTCTGTAAGTTAGATTCAGCTGCAAACGAATCTAGGTAGAGAAGAGATCCATGTTATGGATGAGGCAGAAGGAGGCTGGTAAGCCGAAGAGATGAGAGAAGAACTAAAGCAGGATATGTGACTTCAGAAGGGTGGACCTTTGAAAGTGGAAGTAATGGTGCTGAACACAGCCACAAGTTGAGGAGAAAGATGCAGCAGTATTTGAATTTTGGTGAAGGTGTTATTAGGCTAAGTTCTTGATGGAGAGCAAGGAGCAGAGCCCAGTAATGGGGCAGCTTCAAGGTAGGGATAAGTCTTACATTTGCACTGTATTCATTCATAATACAAATGTAGTAAACAAATGCAAGGGCTCTTTTACGTTTCCACTGGAAGACAGGAATACTTGGAACAAGTCTAGGCTTCAAAGGAGGATATAGAGGTATATGATCTTGACTGAACTGCAGGGGGAGCTTTAGAAATGCAGCATGCCGTTACACTGTTCCATTGACTGAAATTTTCTCTGGACACCACACCTTATTTCTGTTTCCTCAGTATTGCCTCATGTCATTTTTTTATTAATCCTTTTTTCTTCCTTTCACTTTTTTAATTCCTTTGCTGTTTTTCTTTCTTTCCCTTTCACTTCTCTCTCTTTTTTTTTTTCTTAATTCTTATATGAAGGAATGCAGGTAACATCCTTACTGCATAGTTTTGTAGGTTCTATCAAAGTTCTGTTAAACACAAGCACCTAAATGTACCACAAATGTTCTGAAAGACAGTTTTAACCACTTTTACAAGCAACATAGCTGTGGCACTGAATCATTTTTTTTGCTGGAGAGGTGTTTCCTACTACCAATACCATTAACTTATTTTAGTATTTAGAACTTCTTAATTGGTTAGATCTGAACCCACAGAGCTTTTGAAACTTGCTTGGCATACACCTCACAGCTTTTTTTATATTTTAATTGAATATTTCACAGACATAGTATCATTTAAGTGTTTGCCATTATATTACTGACACTTGGAAGCCAGGGCTTCTGATACTTGATTTTCTATCTTAGCCAGTTTGTTGTCCAGTTTAAGTACATGTAAGTTCATTCATATGCCTTGGTTAACGTGGGTCAAAAAAAAATTGAAATTAGGCAAGTGTGTCCAATAGATGTTACTTCACTGTCTGAAATTATAGAATTCTGTATTGAATAATAATATTGGCAGGAAGAAGCAGTACACTTGGCTGATGGCCGAATCATAGAACCATAGAATCATTAAGGTTGGAAGACACCTCCAAAATCACCTGGTTCAACCATCCCCCTACCAGCCAATGTCACCCACTAACCCATGTCCCTAAGCACCACGTCCAACCTTTCCTCGACTCCAGGGACTAGCGACTCCACCACTTCCCTGGGCAGTCCTTTCCAATGCCTGTAGCCTATGAAGCCTGGTGTATTTTTAGTATAATGATAGTAATGACAGCTGCCTTTTCAAGAAAGTGATTGGGTTTTGACTTCCAAGAGAAACTGAAGTTTTCAGTGCAGAATAGCACAGAATTATCCTTCTGATTAATTTGCTACAACCTCTTAGGGGCTAAGACACCCAGGACTGCTGTCAACTGCTACCTCTTTAGCTCCTAAGGAGAAGAGAGATCTCTAGGTCATGCCAAAACTAGTTTTTCAAAATGATCTGGAAAAGTCATGTAGCTGTGTTTACTCTCTGTGTGTGAACTATTAAAGCCCTAATTTCTCAGATATTTTTCTTATTTTAGATGATGAAAGGTATTTATTTCACCACTTAAATCTCCCATCGTTTTACTTCAGGCTTGCTTAATGTTTTCTGGCTTCTTGGAGTGGAGGAGCGGGGATTGAAAGAGGCTTCAGCAATTATTTTACATTTTTATATGGGTCATTATAAAGCAAGACCTACTTTTCCTTTTTTTTTTTTACTGACATTTCTTGTTTAACGACAGTGAATTGATTTTCTAATTCTGTTGATTATTTTCTTTACACAATCCTATTTTAGAAAGTATTTTAAGAAGACAATTTAAAGGAACTTTAAAAGGGTGTTCTAAAGCTCTAATGTGTGCCTGTTAACTTCTGTCTAACCCATTTAGGGATTAAGGAAAAGCAAAAGATGTATGTGATTGCATGTAGCTAAATTAATGGGCTTTATTTCCTTCTTCTCTATCTCTGTGATATTCAACTTTCTCCACAAGATGGCAATAGAAAGCTGCATAGTAGCTGAGTACAGCAATAGTACTAGGTTTGAACATTTCAAGTTAATTATTAATATCAACTTGGTGCAATATATCTAAGAATGCTTGTATGTTTTCTTCTGTTGCAGAATGACCTAAAGCCTACGGAAGCAAAAAAGAAAATCCAGCATGTTACATGGCCATGAAGTAGCTAGCGGTGCTCCAAACATAAATGTTACTTCCATGTTTTCAAACAGATAAGTCATATTTGAACAGTTTAGGTACTCTTATTTTTAAACCTTACAGGGATTCAGATTGCTGTGAAGTTTTAACAAGTTTAAAGGTTCCCTGTTGTAAATCTGGAGTCATTATCACCAGTCACCTTAAGAGTGTCTACTATTGTACACAAAACAGTTTATTCCCTCTTTAAAAGGTGGTAATATTACATTACACCAAATCCTCCACTTTTAGTTTTCAAGATTATTATAGTTCATCTCCTGCGTGTCCTTACAAATCACATGCATAAATATTCTTGATTTGTTTTCAGTAAGATTCAGTTCTGTTCTGCTTCTGGATAAATAGTTAAAATAGTTATTGATATTCAGAGCGATCCCAGGAGCCTTCTTGGCTTCATGAAGATAACTAATTTAGATGAGAAAACTGACTATTCTGCTGATAAGCTATTCTGAGACACTTTTTTTTTTTCCTTTTTGTTGCACAGAACATGAGTGTAGAATTTACAGGGCAGGTTAAGTTGGTAATAAGAGATGAACTATTTAACAGCATTACTTCAAATTGAAGTTTCTCTTATTGACTTATGAGATAAGAAATGCACAGACGGAAGTATGTTATTAGGCTGTCTGATACGAATCTTTGAGAGGAAGTAGTGAATGGATTAGTGCCATGTTCTCTAATACTCACAGGCATATTTTATACACATGTAAGTGTAAAAATGTGCCGATATAGCAGATTTGCTTGTTTTCCTGGTTATAATCATGCTCATAAAATATGGGGAAAACCTGTGGAATTCAGGCCAGTGCTTTCTCAGCTTACAAACAGTTGGAGAGGGAAAGGGTCAGGAAGACTAAGTACCACCTTGAGAGCATTAGCGTATGTAGTTGCACTCTTAAAAAATACATATTTTGTTCTCTTCCCTTCTTATGATCATGTAAGGTGGATGTTGGTTTTCTGTGAAACTTGAGATTTTACCTGGATTATTGGTAGTGCCTTATAAGGCAGGCATCCAGTTAAGTTGATGGCAACTTTTTTTTATTAAATCTCAGTGGCTCAGGATGAAGCCTAATCCATTTTAAATATATGGATGGTAGAAAACAATAGTACTTCCAGACTTAGTAAAACATAAATAAAAAATCTACTTCTGAATCCACTTAGCTAACTCACTAAAATAAGCTGTCAGTAGTGATCTGAAGGCTTGTTTACATTTTTTTTAATTGGTTAGTACTGAAACCAAAAATTGTAGCTTAATTCATTACTGACAGTTGTCCATTCACTGTTGTGACATAAAAGGCACTTCTTGAATGCTGTAAAATGGTAAGAATGTGTGTTTTGAAATATTGTGTGCTGTTTCCCTTTTACTAAACACTTGTGCAGTTTTTGTACTTGAGTACAGCAAACTTTAACGTAATGTACATTTTGTATGTAAAGAGTTGTCTTTTAAGTAGCCTTATCCTATTTAAATAAATTCAATTAAAAGCAAACCAAGTAGTTCTGACTTGTTTTTACGATGTAATTAGACCGGTCCATTTTATGCGGTTACATTTCAGTGGAATTCAAGTGACTAGAACTTAAGAAATACTTACAGGGTAGAAGGCTCCATGGCTACTTTTGAGTTTTAACAGTGTTTTTTACCACGTGAAGTGTTGCTCCTTGCACTAGTGTAACTGGCAGAAGTTCTGTTTTCTGGGTGGCTTCTTGGCAGTGGTTTAGAGCCTAGGTTTTATTTTGTTGTAGTTCTAGTTGCTGGAAGAGTGTGTGTGTGTTGTACCGTTAAGGAGTGCTTTGCAGAGTTGTACTGGAATGACAGCCTGATGCTGCCGTTGCATGGTAAGAGTCTTGTTTTAAGGCTCCTGCGCTTTCCAGCTTTTTTACATTTTACCTACCTTTCCCCAAAGCTGGGACCATTTTACTTTCTGCTGTAACCTTTTTTGCAGGGTGCAAGCCATGCTCTTCTTACTGCCCTACACTGCTGCTTTAGATAGCAGCAGTCCTTCTCTCAGCAAAGTACTAGCGCGGAGCTGCAGTGTGCTGGGAGACCGGCAGGATCCCAGAAGAGGCTAAATGAGGTGGGCACTCTCTGGCTTTAGGGGGTGTGGATGTAAGGATGGATGTTCTTGACTGCAGCCTTCATCACAGAACGAAGTCACTACAGGACAGATTTTAATTGTCTGGTGAGATCAGGTTAGGAGGGTGCGCGCTTCAGAAATAGCAGACAGCAAAGTTCTTCAAACTGTACAGGAAACCAAGTCTGATCCAATGCAACTATGTAGCTTGTTGAATTAATGAGAGAGGAACGACCTGTGACTACTGTACACTTGGTGAAAAAAAAAGATGAATTTAAGAATGGTGGCAGGAACTAGGAGCAAACTTACCTTCCCCAGTTACACGCAGCAAGTACACTCCTAATTCTGCTTTGCACATTTGAAGATCATTGAATCACAGAATGGTTTGGGTTGGAACCCCATCCTGTCCCATGGGCAGGGACACCTCCCACCAGCCCAGGTTGCCCAAAGCCCATCCAGCCTGGCCTTGAACACCTCCAGGGATGGGGCATCCACAGCTTCTCTGGGCAGCCTGTGCCAAGGCCTCACCACCCTCAGAGCAAAGAAAGATTCCCGTTGGAAAAGTGATGTTACTTTCCTCCTCTTCCATGATGCAAGCAAATTCCATGGGGAAGGTTTACTTGGTTAGTTCATTGCATAACATGGCCACGTTGTGTTTTGGGAAGATGCTTATCGTCCCATGGATTGTGTCATCTTAGTTTTTATTGCTGTTGTAGCAAACATGTAGCAGAAATGATGCTAGAGAAAAAGGTATTACAAATTACATAATAAAACAAGTCCCAGTCAGAAGATAAACTTCTGACCTTTGCAAAGATAAATGTTGTTTGATTTTTTTTTAAGCGTGATTGCTGGAAAGAATACTTTGGTTTTGAGTTCAGAGCCTATGAGCACACTTCTATCAGCTGCAATCAAGTCAGTATTTTCACATAGTTTGGTTTTGCTGATAACTTTCCCCATGACTGCAGTTAGTAGAAGACTGCTGTATCAGCAGGGCTTGTACAGGGATTGTTTGAACTCCACAATTGCATAGTGACTTGGGCATGCAAAAAGGGTTGTGTCTGTGTGGCTCTTACATTGTGTTTCTTAAGACTGTGAAAGCAATTTATTTGTAAATACCTGGTGTGTAAATGCAGTTAAACCACGGCAACAGCTTTGTTTTAAATGACTTTATTTTGAAAAATACAATGTGCGGTGTAATGTCGACTAAATGTAATACTGGCACTGTCAATCAGAGCTTGTACTTCACACGATGATCAGCTAGTCATGCAATAAAATGTGTATGTTATGAAGCACTCCCACTTCAACTGTTTTATCGTTATCTCTTTACGACATTGCACAAATCCTTGTACATTAACACACCCTCTACGCCTGTAGTCTTCCTACGTACTTGACAGCACACACTAGTCACATAGCTCAAGAACACTGAGGTGAGACCACGGCCTTATTGAAATTGAGTGGTGGTTGCCATTAATTTCAGCAGGCTGGGGGCTTCACCCTGAATACCCATCTATGAATTTATTGCGTGCGGCCATTGTAATCACTGGACTGTTTCACTTGCTCATAACTTAACTCAGATGCTTAAACTGGAATACTTAATGGGAAAAAAAAAAGTGTAGTATGTCAGTAACACCCAAATGGTTTTATATCTCAGGTTTTGCATTAGTTTTAGTTAGCTACAGAAATCTTAAACACCATCACTGCTACTAGAGATTCCGAAGTTGTTTTCCCTCTGTACTTGGAGAGTTTGAGTAAGAAGGTTAAGTGATGTTAATAGTATAGCGAAACACGGAAGGGCAAAGCTAGCTCCAAACATCTGTGTGTTTCAGGCTATAAATTGCAAGCGCGGCTTTCTGCCTCTCTTCCCTGCCTCTTTATTTTGAGCTTTAAATATCCTTTCCACATTCAGGGCAAAGGATGTCATCCCTTTCTGTTAGGAAGCCACGGCCCACTAACGAGAGAGAACACTTCTTACAGTTAAAGCAATCATTATGCCACTGCCGCTCTTCAAACGAGATGTACTTGGTTCCTCCGAGACCTGTTTGGAAACCAAAAGCATTCTGTTACAGGGGAAGAGTAGCGCGTTAGCCATTAAGTGATGCTATTTCAGACTCCACTTCTGGGTAGCTGTGGACATCTGACATACAGCAGTGAAAAATGCCATTATGCTGAACCTATTTCTGTTTGTTGCTGTGCTAATTTTGTCACCCTTGCTCTGGAACAAGAAGGATTTTCATCCTTAAGCAGTTCTGTTGCTTTCAGCTGAGTTTATGAGCTAGACTGTTGGCGTGGTTATGGATGGTGGCAGAAATGAACATTTAAGGATAGGCTCAGCCCTTAGCTGACAGCAGGATGGCACTACAATGCAGAGCAGAAGAAAAGAAAAGCAACTGCATCTGAATTACAGAAGTCTGGTGGTTATTTACACAACATTTATGATGTCTGGGTAAGTTAATCTTGTTTTGTGAAAATGCATTAAGTTCTTTAGAAAGGAAGTCTTACTTCCTTTCCTTACTTAGGAAGGCTACTTCATGACTTGATTCACAGATTTCAGGGAGGGTGCCTCAAGAAAAGAAGGTTAGCAAATGACAAAAAACAAAAAAGTGTGAGGCTGTGGAGGTTGTCATGGGAAATATAGAGGTTGTATAGAATAAAAGAAAATGGGCTAATGTCTCTCGTAATAGTAATTATTGCTTAATCTTAATGATAAGCAATTTGAATATTATGCAGAAGGATTGACTAGCTGAAAGTCAATGAAAGGACTCGGTTGGGCATCTCTCTTACTTGAGAGGGTTTTTTGGGGGGCGTTGCCATTTGTAATAACATTGGGAAAAAAACAGTGTATGAAAAAGGGCTGCCATATTCAGAAGAGAAGTGCCTCTGAAGTGAACAGGTAACAACAAGCAAGGTGTTATGCACTGACCTTTCTAGGAGATACGCAAATCAGCATCTACGATTGTGGGGCAGAGCAATATTATCATGCGAAAATGATTCAGATATAACTCAGATATGCAATCTTGGTGTTAAATGCTGATTACTACATGTAGGAGGTTACAATTTTATGCTACGTATTTCACAGGTAAAGCCGTAAGCAGTTGATCTTTTGACTACCATTGTACTGGAAAGCCTTGTAATTTCCCAGTTGCTGTCCTGGGAAGAAATACTTTGCTACAACATGAGGTATAACCCAGTTAGAAGCTACTGGTAGAGAGACTGTTGTTGCTGAGGTCAGCGATCCCTCTCATGAGCACAAGTGAAATGCCATACAGAATATGGATATCCCACTACCTGCATAACTGTTACTGTGCATCCACCATGGTTCATGAAAGTCAGGTGGAAAGGAGAAAACTTCAATTTAAGGACCTCTTCCACTTTTTATGAGGCACTTGGAAGGCATGGTAAGTATTTAAGTTCACGAATCCTAAATTATGTAGTGTCAAGCTCGTCAGAATAAGTTAACGAACCATTTTTAATATTAGCAGCAGTTCATCAGAAAAAAATGAGATAATTTTTCAGTGACTCGCCACGAGGGACCTACCACTGATCGGGTTTGTGCATCCAGCACACTTTTTGGCGTAAAGGTTGCAGAAGCAGCTCAGGCAATACGCAAACTCATCCCTGGAGGTAAAGCGTTGTCCGGACAACTGCTTCTTGCATCCAGTGCAAACAAAGCACTCCTTATGCCAGGGCTGCTCCCGGTAAGTAACGCCTCCTGAAGTGATAGCCTGTTTATGGGAAGTAAGACAAAGTGTTTTCTTGAGGGTGGCAGCTTTGTATCTTTGGTAGAGAGGAAGAGCGATGAGGTTTTTGTGGGTGGGAGGAAGGAAAAAAAGGCTTAACAGCAGCAAAGCATAATTTTGGCTGAATTTAACCTTGAGAAGAACATACAAGTGATTCATTGTAATTGCCCCATTTATACAAAGAAGCCCTATGTATCACTCTGAATTGTGCTCTTTGTTTTTGAAGCTGGTCTTTGTAGGTCTTTTTTTTAAATTAATGTGCAAGGATTTGTCTCATTTCTGTTCCTTCACCTGTCCCATTCTTCATAGTGAAAGAACTACCTTGTGTGTTTTAATTTTCCCCTTATTTCCCTTGGCAAAGATTGCTTTATTTCAATTTTACCTGAAATCTTTTCTTCCTGATTCTCCATAATTTGTCTGGGCTTTTTCCTTATAACTAGACATTGCCTATGATAACAGCTCCCCTGACTTTAGACAAACCAAACTTCTTTTGACTCCTGAGTGTTCCTAAAAAGCTGTAAAAATGGTCACTTTAATTTCATTTCCTGCCTTCACAAAGGGGAGATTCCCTGGTAAATCCATCTTCTGTGTGGTCATGCAATTTAATATGTAGCATTCATCTGTCTTTGCCTCTTTCCAAAGTATTTAGGAGCTTGTTCTCAAACGGAGTTAAAATGAGACTCTAGGAGGGAGATTTAAGGTATGAAACTCCTATCCATTCACCAATTTTTTGAAGCTTCTACGAGGTAGTAAAGGTAATTAGATTTATATTCAGACAGAAGAAAGGAAAACTTGAGTAAATGTTGTCCCTGGTGCAGGATGGGAGCTGAAATTATATCATCTCTTGAAATCAGTTGATTTCGAATCTTTTAACACTCACCCACTCACTCCCATGCACAGAAAAATATGATGTTCTACCTAATTGGACTTAAAATGTGACGGAGCTCAATCCCTTGTGTTTTAGGTGAAGAAAATAAGAGCACTACCTTCTTGCACTGGACGCACTGCATAGCAAACTGCTTTTCGTAGCAGGGTACGCAGAAGTTTTGATTGTCTTTCGGGATGAAACTCTTTGTCCCAATTGGCTGTTGACAGCGGTAGCAGATAAAGCAAGTCTCGTGCCAGCTGTTGCCTTTATATTCCATCTTCCGTGTGCCTGTAATGAGACCAGAACACAAACTGAACTCCTGGCTGAGACCAATGCAGTTTTTAACTCTACTTCAGTGGCTGACTGTCAGGGAAAAAGCAGTGCAGCTATGAGACAGAGGCTAGCCTATGTTCTCAAGGTATGGGGTACCAGTTTAAGATTTTGGACAGTAAGAGGTTCTCCTTAAAAGAAGAGAGATGTTTACTGCTAATCCACTTTTCTGTCTGTTGACACAATATCAAGTTCTTAGGAGACTAACGAGATGTTTGTGTGTTGGCTAATGATGAACCACACTAATTCCTTTGCCAACTCTCCTCACACCAGTCACCACAGGGTGAAGTTTTACCATTTTCCTTTTCTCAAATTTTAATTCCCCTTTGTTTACCAGTATCATAACTTTATTTTTCTTTTTTTTGGTCTCATTAAATTCTGCCCATACTTCAGCAATTTTGGTTTTTAAAGATCTCATTTGCAGCAATGTAGTAAGTGCACTGTTACTCATCTTTCTGCCTTGAGTATTGCAGACCCTTTTTGTTAATGGACACCTTTTAAGAATTATGCACTCCCTGTGCTGGTAACTCTTTATATCATACCAAAAGGAATTCTTGGAGGAGTGGCATCCTGGGAAAAGATATAGATGCATGTTTTTGGAATAGCCAAGAATTATATTTACACGTTTTTAGCAGTTCATTATTTGGGTTTGTATTATCACTGAAACACAAGGCAGGGGGAACCCTGTTTGTTACCCGCTAGATTGAAGTCAGTGGGAGCTCAGTTTGCAGAAGGCCTGAAAGATCAAGCTTGTAATTATTTAGTATTTAATGGGCTTGTCATTATAATGCTTTATTAAATCTAAATTGTATGTTTAGTGGAGCAAAGCAAAGGACAAGAGTAGCATCAACAATCTCCATGAAGGGTATCCAGCCTCTTGCTGGTTCTTTCAAAACGAATTATGTTCCAGTTGGTGATCAGAGTAACATGGAGTGCTGTACGAGCAAACTTTAAAAATAGTAAAAAAATAAAAATAAAATATTTCTCATCTCAGATAAAGATGCTTATACTGATAAATGGATGTCTATATGTTTTTATGTATATTTGCTGTTTCTTATTTATATGTCCTACGCTCTCATCAAACCCTTATCAAAACACCTTAGGTGTACAAAGAAAGTTGTGGTTTTGAGCTTTTGTCTAGGATGACTGGTGTGAGAATCAGCCAAGGAAAAAATTTACAGCAAAAAGTAACTGGTAATCTTTATGGAACATGCATATGGATTGTTCAAATTGCCTTTTAATATTTTATTGCTGGACCAATATTCCTTCCACTTTAAGCCCTCAAATCATCAATCAAATCAATTAAAAATCAAGTGCTGTCCTATTGTCATGTGCAAGTGAGTCTTTTTTCTGTTTTCCTGTTTTTTTTATACCTTTTATGCTCAAGAAAGACCTTACAGATATTTTGACCAATTATTCATTTTTTATTGCAGAATCTAAATTTAGAGTATTTACCTAAAACAACTAAACTGAGAATTAAGTAAACTGTGTGAGTGTCCTCTGATCTTCAAGCATGGAAAGCCAACTGAGACAGAGTACAAAGGCGGGATTGGACAGAAGAGTTGTCCAGCCATCAAAAGCCTTTCAATGAATGCTTCTAAAGAGAATTGTAAATCCCATTAATAAAACTACTAAATGAAATTGATACTAGTTTTCAAGAACAATCCATTTCACACATATAAAAATTCTAACAAGATGCATTATGAAAACTATGGGTTCTGGTCATGGAAATAACTTAGGATTCAACCGTATCTTACAAAGTTCACCGTGTCTTAGCAGAGAGAGTCATGGAAAAAAACATTTGTCACCACAAATACTGCCAAGACTGGGTTTGATATTTAACCAGATCTTTCCTCAGTCCCAAAAGTGAGCATCCTAACCTGGCATAATAGTCTTCTTGCACTCATTACATTTGGAAGAGTATTCATTGGAGTAGCAGTCAGTGCAAAGTAGATGTTCCTCTTTTGCGGCAAAAGGCTTGTCCACCAATGAGTTCTTGCACTGGAAGCAGTGAAAGCAGGTTTCATGCCAGTGGCGGTCCTTGTAAGACAGATCCTATAGAAATCCAAAACCACAGAGTAAACAGAACGAACAATTTGCACAACTGGAAGCTCAGAGCATGTAAACGTGTTCGGATCTGGATCACAGCCAGGAGTTAGGGCTTATTCCCACAGCTCAAGAAAACAGCATGTTCTAATGAAGGTGAACTTATTTTGCCATGATTACCAAAAGCAGCTGATGACAACTGTCAGCCCTCTCTCAATTGAAGGTCAATTGAATTAAATTTCAGTTCGGTTAGGTATTTCCTCTGAGAATAAAGTCCTGGTTTTGAGTCAGGTTAGGACTTGTTAACTTTAGCAATATAACAACTCCCTCTATTTGTCTTAAGTATTTCCAATTTCTAGGTCATTTTATAGCTGTTTGTTTCTGGACTGAAATCCCTTTCCCTTTCTGATAGTTCAACAGATTTACACCAAGGCATGCACGTGTGTGTGCTGTGACTGATTTTTACCAAGTCTTATATTTCTGTTTCAAATGTAAATCAGGTGCATTGCTGGAGACTGAACGAACGCTCTGGAAGATGAGACCACACCGTACCTGTAGCTGCTGATCCAGAACACTCCTGGCCAAGGGATTAGCACCTTGGAGCACCTAAGTATTTAAAATATCTCGCCAGTGGTACTTTTTAAAATTAAAACAAAACAAACCAACACCAAAAAAGTTCTTCTAAGAACTGTGACTTCTGTGTTCGTGTTGTCATGAGTAGGAAATATAAAAATTAAGCAGAAATAATTTGTCAGGTTCAAGCTCGAGATCTGCTATATATTAATTAGAAGCACAGAATTGCCCTGGTTAACTGAAGGAAAGGAATGAGTTTTATATCTTTTTATTTTTTTCCCCTAATTGTATGAAGTAGAATGGAAACAATAGCTTGTGTCAGACCTACTCTGCTCCATGTAAGCATAGTCACATCACAGGTGACTCCAAACATGCAATCTTAGCCCAGAGCAAACAAATACTGTGGATTTAGGTTAGCCTAAAATAGCAACATGTTATGTCAGCAGGATCCTTGTTCTCAAAAATAGCTAACAGGAAACACTGAAATAGTTTTTGCATAGCTCAGCGGATGCGTAGTAATGTGCTAAACTATAGTAACTTCAGAAGAATTTGCGAAATGAAGAATCTCTCTTTGGACTACTGAGCTGCTCACCTAGATTTCTTAGGTCACTGTGAGTAACAAGTAGTGTCCAATACGTCTTTTGTCTCTGAGAATGCAGCCCGAGAGAGAATATCTAAGCTTCATACTGTACGGCTTTCTGACAGTTGTTTACTCAGGTTGTCTATTTATTTCAAGGAAATCTTTTTGAAACAACCCAGATTTCTGACCAGAAAACCTTAGACTTTTCTAATAGAAAAATTAAAAACCAACCAAACAAACAAAAAACACGTCTTGTTTAGAAGTTATTTAACTTTTTTTCTTCTTTAAATTAAGTTGAATAGCCTCAATCTGATCTCAAAGGAGAAAAATATTTTCATCAGAGAAATATAACATACAGCCAAGAGCGTTTTCCAAAATAAGAAATTTGCCTGCAAGAAAACAGAATGACAACAGATCTGTTTTTCTTTCTATTGTAACAGGATAGATTCTTTTTTTTTTTTTTTTTTTTTCCTTCATTTTCTGCCTTTCTCCGTATTTTGCAATATTCTGCAAGCTAATGTTTATACCCCAAACTCACTCACTGATATTTCCTTTCATTTTGCCTTGTTGAATCAATAAAATGATACCATGCAGAAGGTCTGTTTCCTGTTGCAGGGGAATAATGAAGAAGAGGATTAGCTTTTGCTGATGCAATGTTTAATCTTTGAATCGATCACGATGGCAGATTGTATGGACACTATTGGAGCAGGTCACAGTACCAGACACTTCATCGTGGCAAAGTGATGAGTCACAGCCACAACCCAAAGCAAGCAAGATCCAGACTGGTGCAAATAATCTTTAGCTAGCTTGGATGATTGCAGCAGCTGGTGTCATCGAATGTGGGGGATGTTTAGGATGTCTGGGTTGGACATGCCTGCGGCAGAGCATTGGCCAGGTGAAATGGTTATTGCTTTCTTTCTCTGAATCTGCCATCTGAAGCAGGGAAGTTCAAGGTACTGATGAAGCAGTTTGTGAGTTGTTTCATGGTTGTTCTTAGGTCAGTGCTACGAAGTCGGTGGCTATCAGGTTTTGTCTATGTCAGTACATTGCATATCCAACTGGAGCTGTTGGTGTGCACATAAATTACAGATTTATCGATCTAGATCAGATTCTACACTGGAGAAGCTGCATCTGCAAAGACGACTTCAAGCTTGTCTGACTATTAGGCTGGTGCTCAGTTAAGCTGAAAGAGCATTAGATTTACTCGAGGTTAGGCTAGCTGACAGGAACATAAACAAATCTGTTCCAGCAGAAGACACAAGTGATTTACTTGTAATTACTGTTTATTGCATGGATTTCCAGGAAGAACTAATAAAGACATTTGCTATTGTGGACTCACAACTAGAGTGCAGCCTTAAAATACTGATGAGTGTAACTTCTCAGCTGCTTTATGCAGCTTGAAAGAAATGAGTCCCTGATGCGACGTATTTTAACTAGTTTTTAATGAATCCTCTTATGTTTCCTAAAAGAAATCTGGAGAATGACTTTTTACCATCAGTCTGTGCATCTGGCTATGAAAACTGACAGCCACGTGCTCTCGTCAGATAAAGCACACACAAGCACAGATAACAGCCTGAAGAATTACCATAGATTGACATTTCAGAAGTGGAAGTGTGTTTACATACAGAGAGATGCATGCACACAGATGCTTGTGGACTTGGTCTGTCCCGGGCAAGTGTTTTGCAGCTGAGGAGCAGAGAGCTGCAAACTAGTTCCAGATGTGCTCCCAGTGAAAACAGAGGGGGAGGAGGGCAATGCCTGCCTCTGAAGAGCTACAATAAATCCTGCAGCTGAATTTGCAGGAAGAAATATTTAGCACTTCATTCAGTTATATTTCTTCTGAATGTGAAAAATAATAATTCCCTTATCTGATTTGCGTGAGTATAAGCATAACTAGATTAACGAGACCTGAAGCTACTCAGATTTGAATGGGTACATCTCTCAGCTTGATCTGAGAATCTGCTTCTCGAAAATTTCAGCTCAGTGCTCCTTGGGGGGACCAAATGAGTGGCAAATTCTGGGATGTTTCTCCAAGAGACATCAGAGTGAGCCAAGAGTTGTACACATGCAGATGACTGACAGTAGGAACATGGCACAAATAAACATTAAAGTGGACCCTATTTATATCCAAAGCGTTTTGGTCATCTCTTGCAAAATAGGTTTGAAACTACAGTTTTGAAAAGACCTCAGGTGCTTTTCAAACAATTTTACTTTCCCTGACTTTCATCATGCCATCTCCAAAGAGAACTTTGTCAGGATAGCTGTTTTCAGCCCCTCATATCCTACAAATATATTGTGTCTTAGACCTTTATAAGTCTAAGCAAGCTTAAACCATTATGAATTATCTTTTCTCCTGAACTGGCTCTCAACAGGGACCCAACAAGAAGAAGGAGACTAGAGGCATCATTATCAGAAGGATAACTGTATATGTTTGTTCATAAATGAAAAACACACATCAGACTTTCTTGCTAGCGACAATGCTATTTTCAGAAGGATAAGCAGGGAAAATGGGGTACTACAACAAAACTCTGTACAAATTATGGTCATGCACTCACTGTAACTGAACATTTTAGTGTGCTAGACTGTTAATTCCCTATTAAGATCGTATTTAGAAAAGGTAAAATTAAGCAGCACTCTACTGAAGCCAGCACCATAGTGATATGACAAGAGACTAATGGTCTGTCACCATTCCTCTTCACAACAGTGAGTCTGATATTCAGCAGTGCACAGAGGAAGTGTTGCAACACAGAAGAGAGTTGAAAAATTAGGACAGCTTTTCATCCTTTCCTGATCCACGTCATTAGATGCTATATTTTTTGTTGAGTTTATATGTAAGACTGACCCTTTTGACTCATTTTTGGCCTATGTGCTGCCAAAGTAGTTTATCTCATGCTCCACTTTTAATTTAGTTCTCACATTTTGTGGAGGGAATTTGCACCCTCTCCTGCTTGCCAAGGCCAGCTTGTGGTCTGCATTAAGCACTTGATTACTGGAGGTATTTCCTGTATTTGTGATGGTTTCTGTGCCAGAGGGCCTGCAAAGAAACTATTAAAAAAAGGCAAAAATCAACCAAAAGTCACATTTAAGCAGTTAAGCAAATGAGAACATTATGGGTGGATTTCCAGAAAGAAGCAAGGAAACGGTGGGCGTAGGGAGCATTCACCAGGGACACGGGCATCAAAATGCCAACTTCTTCTGCTTAAAAGGAGCAAATTTCTGCTAGGACCTGTTGGCATATGGAGGATGTGTAATAGCTGTGAGAGACATGGCATCGTGTTTTTCGACTGTCTGTCTGCCAGTGCCTCCCACCACTCAGTATATGAAGCTTCAGTGTAACCCAGGGGAGATGATGCTATGCACCAGTGCTGAAACACAGCAAGAAAGACACCGCAGTAGTGCTGGAGCTGGAGAGCTGGCTGTCTCTTTGTCACCACCCGTTTTGCTTTGGTGTAGCCCTTTCAGCTGCAGGAGGGTTGCTCCTGAGTGGGAGGGCTGGTTAGGGGATTGCTCCTGTCCACTGAGAGGAGATTCTGTTCACTGTTTTTCTGTTGGTTTTTGTACAGTAATTTTCACAATGATAAGTAATCATTTACAATCTAATCAAAGCTAATTCTTGCTTTGCACCTAATTTTGCAGATAAGAGTTCATGCTTTGGGTATCGGGAGCTCTGAGAGTCTTAATCCTAGTCTTTAGTCTCAAATTTTGCAGGTCCTAAGAAACAGCCATAGACTAACCAAGCCACCCACAAGAAGTAATTCTTTGCAGGGTGAAATGAGGAGCATCCCCACTGGAGGTGAGATCTAATTTCAGCTCTTCTCAGTGCAGAGAAACAGCGGTGGCCAAGAAGGGACTTGCAAAGGAGGATCTGAGGTGAGAGCTAGTTGGGGCTTTTCAATCTGTCCTGTGGATGGATGTAAGGGTGGGTGCCCCCGGAGGACACAGAGGCTTGGATGCTACCCTTCTGGATAACATTTTCACTTTATAAAGCTTTAGTTCTAAATTTTACAGCTGAATAAAGGCTACGTCAGGACAGCTAATATGTATGGAGTCTACTTTGTTCTTGTAGTAAGAGTACTGGTTTTATTCACAAGCATGACATGTTTTGACTGTACTGCAAATGCAGTGTGTGAAAAGATATATATATGTATATGTGTATAATGTTTATATATCTATTATGTGTTTAGATGCTTATGTGTATATATATAGCTTAATAATAAGAAGAAGCGTGATTTTTGTGACTGTGTTTCCTGGTTCAATTATGCTCAGTCATAGACAAACTTTGAAACTTGTGGCTGAGAAACCTTGAAGGGCTTTCTCTTAAATGTATTCTCTAGAGTCTGTTACTGTACTTGAAAAACTACTCTAGTTTTCCTCTCAATGGGAATATTATTCAGATCTCTTTTTTAATACTCACAACATATTTCATTTTCAGAAGACTCAAAGATCTTAGGGACATTTAGCCATTTGTTAAAATTTGCTTAAAATTGGTCAGCAGGTTGAAAGGCTATAGCATAGAGGATTGTTTGCAGGCACACACAGCAGTCATAGAAACGAACAACAACAAAAAAAAAAAGATGCATTTTTTTTCTGATACACAGTTAATTTCTTTAAGAAATCTTTATTTACTATCTTTTCGTTTTGGTTCTCCACATATAGTTTTGGTCCTTTACGTACAAAAATATTCTTGTATTGCAGAAAATTATTGTTTTGTTGTTGTATTTGTTTTATCTGCTATTAGAGCGTGTTTTGCTTAAAAATACAGAAATGAAGTATATCGGATAACACCCACACTCCCTAAATCCATAAATTTGGGTTGAAAAGTTCAGCCTGATTAATTCCTGAATACTTTGTCCGAGATTTGTTGAAGCCAGTCCAAGTTTTGAAATTCTTGAATATCAACACATGGAAATATCTTCTCAGGGGATTAGAAGGAGACCTTAAAACAAAAGCACATTCTAGAATGGGGCAGAAATATTTTGCTTTTCCAGGTCAGGCCAGCTGTATTTTTTCTCTAATCTGCATATTTATGAGCTGTAGGGAAACTGGCAGTTTTATAGCCTCTTATGGGTTATTGCCAGTTCTCTGTCATGATGGCCAAACATTTTCACCATTTTAAGGCTTCCGAAAGGGGCTTTCCCACCCATTTTCCAATAGGGTAGGATAGATAAGTTTGGAAGAGAGAAGAAATCAAATTTTCCTGATCTGGATAAGCATATACTTTTATATTTCTGAGCCTTTGAAGTAACGATAGTGTGGTAGTACCAGCAAAATGAATTAATTCATGTTCCTAGAGGTATGGATCAGCAATGAAGGAAATAAAAGAATCCTATGGCCATGCAACGTAAATCACTGTTTTAATGTAAACCCACGCTGCCAGTGAAACTCTTGGCCAACTTTGAACAGGTCAAATTTGTGCAGGGAGGGTGTACGTAGGATGAAATCCATCCATAGCAGTCCAACCATCGCTTCACTGGATGCCTCAAATATCATCTGTCTTCATTCAGTCAGAGTAAAACTGGTGAGAACTCCACTTCTTTGGGGTAATTTAAAAGGAAAATAGGCAGTCACACCTCATTTAGAACGGGTACGTGTTGCCATGTGGTGCATAGCTCAAACAAGCGAGGCCTCTGCTCTTTCCTATGTAATCTTTAGTTGGGTTCCACTATCATTATTCTCCATTTAGAAGTCTAATTGTGTTCTGACTGACTTATTACTTTGGTCAGTGTTGGCCAGATTTTTGTGGTCCATGAGTTGGCATCTTTTTCTGAGTGTGTCTTGTCTCTTGATGACAATTAATTGTGGTCACTGCAGAGACAGCAGCAGCTTATCTCCATCCCATCCAAAGGCAAGAAAAATTGGTTTCTGCCACCTTTACAGGTCCTAGCTGGTCCCAAGGCCAGTTGGGCTCTCTTAATGAGTTAAGGAGACTTTCTATCATCAGATCATCCCATGGCTTAAAGGAAGAGGGGTGCTTTTCAATTTCTATTAACATGTTTTATAACAGAGTCTTGCCATTGGAAGTGATGAAAAACAGACACAGGGGTCCAGAAAAAAACCACTTTTTCACCAAAAGAAAACCCTACATAACCATCAAGATAAGCTTATAGGTCCTTCTAGCTAATAGCACCATGCTTCAGACACAAGGCTCCCACATAAAGACAGTGTTCTCCATCCTAAATAATAAAGTAAAATGTCAATGCTGTATTACCTTTGGAAAAAGTTCACTAAATTTAACCTGTTAACTTTGGGGAATACTGAAGGATTACATGTGTTTTTAACATCAAATATTTTTACCTGAAAACCCTTCTGGTACTTTAAATTGGGTCTTGCTGCTCAGAGCAGGACTCCTCTCAACCTGTGCATTATGCCCTCCAGCTATATAAGGCCCTGGGCATTCAGGGCACCCTTCCAAACTGAATTAACAAACATCTGAAAGTTTGTTGCTCAACTCTGTTTTAAGAGGTGCGAAGCACCCTCCATTCCTGCTGGTTCCAAAGATGTGTCTAGCACTTTGAGGACCAAATCGTTCATTCATGACATCAGTGAATTAAGCACTCAAGGATGAGCCTAACATTTCTGTGTAGAGTGAGGGATGTGCTTGCAGCTGTGGGGTAATATATTACTCTGCCAAGATTTCCATGATGAGACACAACTCTGCCGTACCTTGCAGTCAGCGCCAATAGGTTTTTTGCATTCCTCACAGGTGTTGGAGTAGAGGTTTTCGTAGCATTTCACGCAGTAGGGGCTGTCCTCCCTCAGGATGTACTTCTTGCCAAACAGGGACTCTTTGCAGTAGTGGCAGTCAAAGCGTTCGGTCATGTTGGTGTCTGGAGTCCAGCTATTCTGCCACAAAGACAGAAACAGGCATTTATCAGACTAGGCACGTTGACCCAATCCCCCAAGAAAGCTTTATTATCAATTCCAGTTTATCAAATTCAAATTTCAATCAGATAAATCAACACAATAGAAGAAAACTATAAATCTCGCAGCCCTGGACAAAGACTGTAGCCCGTCTATTTTAACCACCATTGACATGTCTTTGACCAGAGCTAGTGTTAGAGACCAGAGAAAGGAAAATGGGTAAGTCGTGATTGTGAAGAATTCACATGGGATTCCTAAGGAATATCGAGTAACTTTGACCTACAGGCCCAATGCAAGACGTTGTCTCTGTAGGGGATGGAGGAAACCAAATATCTTAAGAGGATGAATCAGCTAATCTCCAGAAGGACCAGCATCTCTTCTATAAGGAGAGAAGTTTTGCATTGCTGGTAGACTTTAGTCATGCAGGGGCTATCTAACACCATTGCCATGTGCTTCTGCACTTTCCTTCTCTGCATTCTCTATAAGCCCATGGCAAACAGTCATTGCTCTGGAGAGAGCCATTACCCCTCCATCTCTGCTAACATGTGGGACTGTGGGTGCTCTTAGCAGCAGGAGCTGGGGGGGGCAGCAATTGTGTGTCTGAGTCTTCCCTGATGCCCCTGAATGAGTTATCCAGCTGCTGTGGTTTAGTGGGACACGAACAAGAGCTAGCTACCCTGGTTAAACCAAATGTCATGTAATGTTTATGGAAGGAAAAAAGCCACTTGAAGAAAATGCAAAAGGTCATCTTGTCTGAATCAGGGTCACTTGCTATTTTTTCCTCTGGTCTTGTTATGTCTCCAGTATATTTTGGATGCACACACAAGTAACAATGACATGAATGTCTTTGATTACTTGCATGAATGTTCATTACTGCCTGGGACAATTTATTTTGGGTCTGGGTTTAACTGGAATCATCAGCTTCTTAGCCTGAGGCTCTCAGTGTGTGTTACACCTGAAATCTGCTCAGAGGTTACAGCTGGAGCAGGACATAGCCGCCTGTTTAGGAAGGGGAATTTCCAAGGCAGAAAGCACATTCCACCTGTACTGCATGACCTTCACTGCCTGCCAGGCCTGGGCTCCCTGTTAAGCCAGATTTGGTCTATAAAGCCTTAAATGCTTTGGGTACTAATGGTTTAAGTGGCTATCTCTGTCTTTCACACACAAGTGACGTTCACAGCAGCCGCAGTGCTTTTGCCAACTTTAGCCCTCACTTTTAAACAAAAAGTTGTTACTTGCTTAGTGTTCTTGGCATGGGTTCCTTGATCCTGGAGTTTTTCCTCTTCTTTTGGCTGGAGGAGCCACCCTTAGGGCATTCTGAAATTCTTAGTTCTCCTCCAGGATTTCAGTTCTTATTATCTTATATCCCCTGTGGCTGGTGTTTGATTAAGGTTGTAGGGTGGTCCGAATGGGCAAAGGTGGATTTGGTGGCTAGAAGGCTTTCTATTTTTGATGATCTGTCAGCTGCTGAATTGTGTAGTTACTCACAGAGCCTAAGAGGTGAAAGCTTTTGTATGTGTGGTGCAGGTACATGATGGCTCAGCTGCTGGGAAGCCTTTTGAGCTCCAGGTGACTGCTAAAGGAAAAGGACAGGGAAACTACTGAACACCCCAAAGTGCTTGGAACACAAATCCTGGCAGCCGGTCATCCGTGCTATGACCTACTCAAAAGGAGCAGTAGTGCAGCTGTTTTCACCCTACAGAAGCTGTGGGGAAGCACTAGTTAACTTCCTTATCCAAAAGGAAAGCTGGGAGTACGCTAGGTGCTCTTGGTCCTTGGAGATTAAAGAGGACCATAGGGATTGATAATGAAACGATGGAAAATCAGAGGAATTACACTGGAGAAAGAAGTGCAGAGACTACCTAAAGTTCACCAGTAGCCCATCTCCAACAGCAGTGGCTAGCAAAGACAGCAGAAGGAAAGAGAGCAAGAAACAGGGCTGGCACAAAGGTGTATTTCCTTCATAAACTGCTTCCTGCAGGTTAGTCTCCTCTTCAAGTGGAGGTGAAGTCTTTTCCACAACATTTAGTCGGTGTTGGTAGATTTATTTTCCCCTCCATTTTGAGCCCATTTACATTCCCAACCTACATAACACATTTGTACTTCCCATGAAGGAAATAGAAAGGACTTAACTTGCTTCAAGCAAATCCCTTCAAGGAGTAATTTCAGGTAAATGAATGGAGTCAGGCTATTATAAAGTTGTGTGTATGACTGAGTCTGAGAGGAGTGATAGCTTTCTGTAAAAGGTAGGTATTTAGGACATAAATCTGTAGCTTTTTACCAGACTCTATCACCTTTTTAAATGATAGGATTTGGTTGCACAGTCAATTTGCATTATTAAAAATCTGAAATCTGAGCAGGAAGTGTGTATGGACTTGCATTTTTCACATTTCTTCAGATTTATTTTTTTTTCCTAGCCTTGAATTAGGTGTGCAATACCACAGAGCCAAAAGTTTGTGTGGTGAAGACGTGTAAGAGTGAAAAATACAGGGTGCAATTCCCTTAAAGGTTTATACCATTTCTATTCTTCATCCAAAGCTGCCAAATGTAAAATAGAAGTGGTTCGTGACTGGAAGCAAAGACTATTACATCTGAACTGGATGTTCCGATGTCGCGGGGGTGTTCCTGAGTGCTCTATTATTTTCTGGGTGTTTTTTCACAGGAACACAGGCAAGCATTACTGCTTACTTGTTATAAGAAGAGTCACTGCCACTATTTTGGAAAATACCTAGACACATCCTGAAAGGGATTTGATTTTGTTAACTGTGCTCTGAGATTGTCAAGGTCCCTCCCAGAGTAGGGAGAGGCAGAACCAATTCCTATGTCTCAAATAGATTTGGGGTGAACTCTACTCTGAGAAGACCCTGAAGGGATATTTCTGGTTAGGGTTAGAGGCATAGCTCCAGTGGTCTGGGAAATTAAATGACAAGAAAGGAAAATTTCCAAGATCTGCATTTTGGTTTTAGTTACGTGACTTCTTTGCTGGATCTGGCAATAATTTCAGACCCAATATCTCTTAAAGTTAGGCACTCAGGTTCATATGGTTTCCTTCAGAAAGCTGGAATTCAGCGCGAAGCATCCCAAGCTCCAGGCTGTTTAGATTTGAGTCTTGGACTGAATCTCACAACCCACTATGTGATATTTTGAGGATATTTTGGCAGTTTTATTCTTCTCTGGAGAGAAGAAATTAAATCTAAAATAATCAGAGGGCCTATCTGCAGAATATTCGTAGGAATGCCAAATGAATCCTTTCACTGTTGCTTTACAAATAAACATGAAATCACACTGAGCAATGCTTTTGCCTGTCAAAAAAAAAAAAGACTATTTTCTCAGTTGTGGACAGGCACAAATTGCAATTCAGCCTTCTTGCCATTGATTAATGCCTTCCTATTGTGCTGATACTTGTTGAATGTAGAGCTCTGTGGGCCAGAAGCTCATCTTTATTATGCCTCTCTGTAGTACCACAAGGTCTTTAGATTTTATTGCAGTAGTCATTTTACACTGATGCAATTTCAGATTGCTCTCAACATTAGCATAAGGGAGAAATTGATTTTTCTGCCACAGTCTCCCTCCTACAGCATTAGACATAACGAGTACATCTCCAAAAGGAAAACAGCTTTCCCCTGCATGCCCAGAAGGGAAGTTCCAGCTTATGCTAAATGTTAGCACCACCCAGATAGTGTCTTTCAGGATGTAAGAATTGGCATGAAAATTACCAAAAAGTAAGTAGTAGGCTGAAATAAAAGCTGTGCTTCTTTCCTCTTCTTCCCCTCTCTGCTAAAACAGGCTCATTTTACTAGAAGCAATGGTTGAAGTTATCATACTATCTCATAAAAATTAGGGTTTATTAAGGAATTATGTGGCACTCCCCCATCAATTGACATGATCTGCTACTGGAAGAAGGGACTAGCTGTCCCAGACCATGTATGCCTTTTCCAGCAATGTTTGCAAGCCTAATGAGAGATGTTCTCTAAATTGTCTAAAAAACATAGGAGTTTAGTTTATTTAAAGAAGTGAAACTCTGATCTCTTTACTGGTATTTGCAGATACTGAACTAAACCACCTGTAGATGCCTAAGAGGGGTTTGTTATTGACCTTGGTCAGATCTATAGGGCTAGAGTTTTCCTATGCCCCTAAGAGCAAGATGTTCTCTCAGCCACCTGCACATGAAATAAAAGGTCTTTGGAGACACCCATCTTCTTCCAACACATACACACATTTCTCCCACCTGACTTTTTTTTTTTTTTTTTTTTTTTTTCCCCAGAAGAACTGTGCACATGGAGTATTTTTGATCTGTTTATTTTCCTTCCCCTGAGAAAGGAAGATTTGTGTCTGGCAACTCCAGTGACATAAGCCATGCAGGTCCAGAGCATTTGGAAACAATTTATGCTAATGTTCCAAAGGCTAAATTGCAAAGATTTATGATATCCTTTGCAACTATGAACTAGCAGTTCAAACTGTGCTGGTCTTTCTGGCAAGAGGTGATTATTTTCCTGTAACTTAGCAGCTATTGCCACATTTATTATCTACCATCTTACTGCAGCAACTGCAAACCACTCTTCTAAGTGCTAATCATTTTTCCACACCAGGCAATAATGTCATGCAGGGGGGCAGGAGAGAAGAAGGGCTGTATATATATGTGTGTGTATTTCTTTTACATTTACTTCAGGAGAAGTAAAGAAATGACCATTTGACAGTAGCACTGGCAAGTGGAAAAAAGATGTAACATGCAGTCAGAATCCACCTGAACTTCAGTGGGTGAAAGTTAGCTGGAACAGATGCACACCACAAACATCCAAAACAGTCCTTTATGTTTAGGTTTACTTGGACGCATTTAGGGGCAGTAACACTCTTTCTTTTGGCTTGCTTATGTTCTGCTTTGTGGGACGTGTGCCCACAGACACCCTGATGGCAGATCCCATAGGTAAACCTGTGTGCTTGGATCTGCAGCTGGCCATGGGACAAGTGCTACCTCTGTGTTG